TATCCCATGACAATGTAATTTACACAAGAGCCTTTGGTGAGGGACCTTGTCAAAGGCTTTCTGGAAATTTAAGTATACTATATCTACTGGATCCCCCTTGTCCGCATGTTTGTTAACCCCTTCAAAGAACTGTAAGGATATGTCTACACTGCCATGCTAGTTCGAGCTAGGGTGGCTAATGTAGTTATTCGAACTTGCAGGAGGAGTAACGATAGTTCAAATTAGGAGCTTTAATTCGAACTACCTAGCCCGTGCCGCGTGTAGCTGTGGGCAGGTAGTTTTAACTTCGGGACATTTAAAAATGGCGGCATCCGGGAACATTCAAATAAAGCCCAGGATATTTAAATCCCGGGCTTCATTTGCAAGTTCAAATGCCTACATTAGCCACCCTAGTTTGAACTAGGGTGGCAGTGTAGACATACCCTAATAGATAGTAAGACATGATGTCCCTTTACAGAATCCATGTTGACTTTTGCCCAATAAATTATGTTCTACTGTGTGTCTGACAATTTTATTCTTTACTATTGTTTCAACTAATTTGCATGGTACTGACATTAGACTTCCTGGTCTGTAATTTCCAGGGTTGCCTCTAGAGCCCTTTTTAAATATTGGCGTTATGTTAGCTGTCTTCCAGTCCTTGGTTACAGAAGCTGATTTAAAGGATAGGTTACAAACCACAGTTAATAGTTTGCAATTTCACATTTGAGTTCTTTCAGAACCCTTGGGTGAATACCATCCAGTCCCACTGACTTGTTACTGTTAAATTTTTCTATTTGTCCCAAAACCTCCTCTAATGACTCTTCAGTCCAGGACAGTTCCTCAGATTCATCACCCACAGAGGACGGTGTAGGTTTGGGAATTTCCCTAACGTTCTCAGCTGTGAAGACTGAAGCAAAGAAATAATTTAGTCTCCCCGCAATGGCTTTATCTTCTTGACTGCTCCTTTTGTATCTCGATCGTTCAGGGGCCCCACTGGTTTTTTAGCAGGCTTCCTGCTTCTAATGTACTTAAAAAACATTTTGCTATAACTGGTTGAGTTTTTGGCTAGCTGTTCTTCAAAATCTTTTTGGCTTTTCTTTTACAATTTTTACACTTAATTTGGCAGTGTTTATGTTCCTTTCTATTTACCTCACTAGGATTGGACTTCCACTTTTTAAAAGATGCTTTTTTTAATCTCTCACTGCTTCTTTTACATGGTTGTTAAGCCAAGGTGGCTCTTTTTTAGGTCTCTTACTATGTTTTTTTAATTTGGGGTATATATTTAAGTTAGGCCTCTATTATGATTTCTTTGAAAAGTTTCCATGCAGCTTGCAGGGATTTTGCTCTAGTCACTGTACCTTTTCATTTCTGTTTAACTAACCTCCTCATTTTTGCATAATTCCCCTTTTTTAAATTAAATGCCAGAGTCTTGGACTGCTCAGGTGTTCTTCCCACCACAGGAATGTTAAATGTTTTTATATTATGGTCACTATTCCTAAGCGATCCTGTAATAGTTACCTTCTGGACCAGATCCTGCACTCCACTCAGGACTAAATTGAGAATAGCCTCTCCCTTTGTGGGTTCCTGTACCAGCTGCTCCAGGAAGCAGTCATTTAAGTCATCGAGAAATTTTATCTCTGCATCTCGTCCTGAAGTGACATGTACCCAGTCAATATAGGGATAATTGAAATCCCCCATTATTATTGAGTTTTTTATTTTGGTAGCCTTTCTAATCTCCTTTAGCATTTCAACATCATTATCACTGTCCTGGCCAGGTGGTCAATAATATATCCCTACTGATATATTCTTATTATAGCAGGGGGTCTATCCATAGCGATTCTCTTGAACATGTTGATTCACTTAATATTTTTATTTCATTTGATTCTACATTATCTTTCACACATAGTGCCACTCTGCCACACGCATGACCTATTCTGTCCTTCCGATATATTTTATATCCCGGTATGATTTTGTCCTACTGATTGTCCTCACTCCATCAGGTTTCTGTGAAATCCTTTCACTGTACTACGAATAGTACAAACTAAATGCTCATGACAAAAAAAGAAGATTAAGGGGGGACATGATAGCGGTTTTCAAATATCTAAAAGGGTGTCACAAGGAGGAAGGAGAAAATTTGTTCCTCTTGGTTTCTGAGGACAGGACAAGGAGTAATGGGCTTAAAGTGCAGCAGGGGAGATTTAGATTGGACATTAGGAAAACATTCCTAACTGTCAGGGTGGTCAAATATTGGAATAAATTGCCAAGGGAGGTGGTGGAATCTCCCTCTCTGGAGATATTTAAGAACAGGTTAGATAGACATCTGTCAGGGATAGTGTAGACGGAGCTTGGTCCTGCCTTGAGGGCGGGGGGCTGGACTAGATGACCTCTCAAGGTCCCTTCCAGTCCTATGATTCTATGATTCTATGACTAGAATATGTGTTGAAAGCCAGCAGTAGGGCTCTACAGGAATCTGTCTAGGAGGGAGCAGTGGTAACATTACTGCTTACTGTCTTTGGCTTTAGAAAGCATTTCAGAAGTACGGAATTATAGACTCGCAGAAGCAGAACACTGGTGTTGGAAGAGACCTCAGGAGGTCATCCAGTCTAATCCCAACTAAATCATCCCAGCCAGGCCTTTGTCATGCTAGGCCTTAAAAACCTCTAAGGCTGGAGATTGTGCCACCAAATCTAGTAATCATTATGTTGCTTCAGTACCCTCCATGGTTTGGTGCTATGAACAATTTAATTATATCATCTGGTAACTGAGCAGAGGCTGTTGCTAACGCTTGCATTCATGGTCATGCATTCAATCGCTCTGCAGGGCTTGTGCAAGGTATTCCAAACAGTCTAGAGAGAGCAGATCTACTGATCTGTGGTGCAGGAAAGTGGAGTGTAATAATGCTTCTATGTAATTTGCACCCATCACCTCTTACAGGAGCATGGCTGAAGGCACTTGCACACTCAGAGAAGCCTGAAGAATGGTCTTGTGCTCTGGAGTCAGTCATCCTTAGCCAGGTAAAGCACTTCAGCTGCTCTCGGAGGGATTCTTGGGGACCATAGTATATCACCAGGAGCGTTTGGTCAGGGAAAGTGAATAGAATCAGGTTCTGATCAAATTTCTACATGAAAATCTGAAGGGAGGCAGCTGAAGGCAATATTACTGAATTATGAACATGACCCTAAGAATTTGTCACATGTGCTTAACAGAAGCAATGACATGATCTGAAAGCTCACAAATGGAGTATTTTTTTTAAAAAAATACATATAATGAGGCCATCAGACATGTCTATAAATAGAGTCAATGCAGGGGTGATAAATATACAGACTGTTTTCATCATGTGTCAAGGCTGTTTCCCTTTCTGGCACTTCGAGTGCAGAAGGTGGGGACCCGTAAAAGACCTTCAATACTTTGCCTCTCTGGGCTTCTGCTTATAAAACTCCCCAAGGTCACAGATTTCCTGCCCTTGGGAGGTAGTTGCCACCATTAAGTATAAATACCCCTTCTTCTGAAACCCAAGAAGAAGCACTTGAACTTCTTCCTGAAGGGTCCCCCACCCAAAGCTATTTTACCACAAGAGAACTTGAGAAAAACAAACTGCAATCTCTGTTAGCTGACCTCTAAGTCTTAGGCACGCATACACAGACCTCCTGCTACTTTTCAGGACACAAGAATCAATTCATTGTCTTAAAATGGTGATTATTATTATCAAAACAAAAAGATATATTTGATAAACCAAATTTGATTGCTAGGTGGCACAGAGCAACTGAGTAAAAATAAAGTAAAACACAGGAAAACATAGTATCTCTGGGTGCAGCTTAGATACAGTGAATGGGGGAGGGGTGGGCACACATGGATTTCACACAGAGAAGTGTAACCAAACAACAAAAGAAAAATTACCTGATCCTTACTAAATGTGCATTTTCTTATCTACTCATGATCCATACTTCCCGGCCTGGTCCATTTCCATGCCCAGTATTCATTGTAGGCATGGTAGTTCTGTCTGGATTAATTCATCCTGTTTCTCCGAGCTCCTAGCTTAAAAACGGCTCCGTCGACGGAGCCATGTAGATGAGTTTTCTAGACATAGGGAAATGAAGCGGCGATTTAAATAATCGCCGCTTCATTTACATCAAAATGGCTGTGCCGATCAGCTGTTTGCCGGCACAGTGCGGTAGTCTGGATGCTCCGCAGTCTACAAGGGAAGCCCTTGTCGACCACCCCATTATGCCTCGTGGAATGAGGTTTACCGGGGCGGTCAACAAAGGAAGCCCTTGTCGACCACGGAGTGTCCAAACTACAGTGCTGTGCCACCAAACAGATGATCGGCACAGTGCGGCAGCCATTTTCATGTAAATGAAGCGTTTCCCTTTTTTGAGTACACTAATATACATGGCTCTGTCGATGGAGCCTTATAGTCTAGACATACCCAAAGAGAACAGCAGGCAGGTATATCTATTCAAATTTAAACAATCTTTAAATTTCAACAATCTTTCCCATTGGCTTTCCTGGCTTCCTGCCAACCCCCTCTAGGTACCCAAGTTTAACACGTTAGTTCCTGCGTGCTGGTCAGCACTCCTCCTAGCCATCACACCATGGATTTGCTCTCTGTTTATATATGCTGTGATACAGCAAGTCACACTCAGCAAGGGAAAGCCAGGAGAGCTGTCTGTGGGGAAAGTCACAATGATAAAATCACGTGGCGCTGAAGTAGGACTTGCAACACAATGCCACAAAATATCAATTGGGCCCAAAATTTAGCAGCATTCAAAGAGGGTCTGGATGTGCTCATGAGCAATCAGAAAATCCAAACTTTCCTGATTTGCACCACAAAATGTGACTCAAAATGGATGTCAGGGGGAAACATTCCCTGGGAGCAAGTTATATCAAAACATCCAATTGCAGGGTTCTTGGATCTTCCTCTAACCATCTGGTACTGGCCACTGGAACCTGAGCAGATGAACTGCAGCTCTGATCCAGTCTGGCAGTGCCTATCTTCCTATCTGTGGCATAAATCAAAGACCATGCATTTGGTGATCTTCCTTGAGCTCCTGGGAGAACAGAAACATGTCTCATTAAATGTCGTCTCATCTCCTGTTCTATTTCTTTTTAGGAAGAAAAGTTCAAAATTCCTTGGAACTGTCCAGGATATGATGCCAGCTGCAAATGACACCAAATTCACACATGCAGTGTTCCTTCTCACTGGGATACCTGGGCAGAAAGACATCCATCTCTGGGTCTCTATCCCCTTCTGCTTAATATATGGTATTTCAATAGTAGGAAATTCAGTCATTCTCTTCATTATAAAAACAGATCCAAGCCTCCATGAGCCTATGTACATTTTCCTTTCCATGCTGGCCCTCACTGACCTTGGCTTATCAATAACCACCATGCCGACAATATTGGGAATATTCTTGTTTAACTTTAGGGAGATCAGCCTCAATGCCTGTATTACCCAGGTGTATTTCATACACACATTTTCATTAATTGAATCTTCCGTGCTGTTGTTGATGGCCTTTGACCGCTGCATTGCGATCCGTGACCCGCTGAGATACACTTCCATCTTAACTCCACCAAGAATAGCCAAAATGGGATTGGTGTGTGTGCTAAGAGGAGTGGTCCTAATATTCCCATTCCCATTTCTTCTGCAACGGTTCCAATACTGTCGAGCCAACATCCTCTCCCATTCCTACTGCCTGCACCAGGATGTCATGAAGTTGGCTTGTGCAGACATCACCGTCAACAACATCTATGGCATGTGTACTGCACTCTTCACGTTTGGGATGGATTCGCTGCTCATCTTCCTCTCTTATGTGATGATTCTCAAAACAGTGCTGAGCGTCGCATCCCGAGCGGAATGCCTCCGGGCCCTGAACACCTGCGTCTCCCATCTCTGCGCCGTCCTGCTCTTCTACATACCTGACATTGGTCTGGCTGTGACACACAGATTTGGGAATAGCTCTTCTCTCGTGCTTCAGATTCTCATGGGCTATATCTACCTGTTGGCCCCACCGCTGATGAACCCAATCGTGTACAGCGTGAAAAGCAAACACCTTCGTGCAAGGATAATCAAGGTCTTTGTCAAGTGAAGGGTCAGTGCATTGCTGATCTCCAGGGCTGGAACACAATTGACAGCCATGGCCACCTATGCCATCCTGGATTCTTCTGAAGCCCGTTTCTTTGCCCCATCTCTTTTCCCAAGGCCACACCTGTAGTATTGCACAGTGCCCAGACTCTGCCACCTCCCCATACTAGAAGCCAGAGCTATTACACTATAAGAGCTGCCCAGAGAGCCAGAGCCACTATGATAGGCCACACATTACCCATGTTTCACCACCCCCAAGATAGAATAATAGAATCATAGAATCATAGAACTGGAAGGAACCTCAAGAGGTCATCAGATCCAGTCTCCTGACCTCACAGCAGGGTCAAGCACCAACTAGACCATCCCTGATAGATATCTACCCAACCTGCTCTTAAATATCTCCAGTGATGGAGATTCCACAACCTCCGAAGGCAATTTAGTCCAGTGTTTAACTACCCTGACTGTTGCGAAGTTTTTCCTACTGTCCAACGTAAATCTCCCTTGATGGAGTTTGAGCCTATTGCTTCCTGTCCTATCATCAGTGGTTAAGGACAATAATTTTTCTCTGGCTTCCTTGTAACAATGTTTTAGATACTTGAAAACTGTTATCTCGTCCTCTCTCAATTTTCTCTTTTCTAGCCTGGACGCAACTAATTTGTTCAGTATTCCATCATAGGCCATGTTTTCCAGACTTTTAATCATTTTTGTTGCTTCTTCTCTGGACCTGCTCCAATTTCTCCACCTCTTTCCTGAAATGTAGCACTCAACAGGGACACAATACTATAGTTGAAGCCAATTCATCACAAAGTAGCTTAGAAGAATTTCCTTTAATGTCTTGCTTACAACACTGCTGTTAATGCATCTCAGAATGATGTTTGCTTTACTTATTTATTTTTTTGCAACAGTTTCATACTGTTGATTCATATTTAGTTTGTACACTGTGAGCCCTGATCCCTTTCCGCAGTACTTCAACCTACACGCAGTTATATGGGCGCATCCACACTGCACCCTAAACTCGAAATAAGATAAGCAATTTGCACTATACAAATTTTGTCTCTTATTTTGAATCTATTTCAAAATAAGTTACACAATTTGTATAGTGCAAATTGCTTATCTTATTTCAAGTTTATGATGCAGTGTGGATGCACCCGTATAGAATCTATTTCAAAATAAATTATTTCGAAATTTGGCTCATCTACAGAGCACCAAATTTCGAAATTAGACACTATTTCAAGACGTCCCTTAACCCTTGTGGAACGAGGATTACCGAGACCAAATTTCGAAATTAGACACTATTTCAAGACGTCCCTTAACTCTTGCGGAACGAGGATTGCTGAAACCGTATGCCCGTTATTTAAAAAAATATTTTGAAATAATGGGCAGCTTGTGTAGATGTGGGGTAACTATTTCAAGATACTTCCAGGATCCTGAAATAACTGTGCAGAGTAGACATACCCTATGTGCGAAACTGATTGTACCTTCCTAAGAGGAGTACTTTGCATTTTCCTTATTAAACTACATCCTATGTACTTCAGACCATTTCTCCAGTTTGTCCAGACCATTTTGAATTCTAACCCTATCCTTCAAAGCACTTGCCACCTCGCCTGCCCCCCCTCCCCCCTGGCTTGATATCATCTGCAAACTTATTCAGCGTACTCCTATATCATTATCTACATTGTCGATGTACAAGGTGGAGAGTCTGTGCTCCCCACAGCACCCAGGGTCTCTCTGGCAGCTTTAACCTTGACCCAGCTCTGGCCTGGCTGGAGGCAGAGCATCAGGGAAAGTGGAGGGGTAGGGGCAGGGCCTAGTAGGAAGGGTTGTGCTATGGGGCAGGGCTTCAGAAGGCGGCAGCGCATAGGGGGTTTGACAGGCCAGAACAAACAATGACCTAGCCAGCAGGAGCATGCGGGTGTTCCTAAGTAAAGAGGAAAATGTGGTCAGGAGGCCGCAGAGCCCTTATTTTAGGGAAACTGAATTAAAGTGACCTCACAACAGGGGATCCTCTTTTAGGTCTCAGAGGTTGATTGACAGTCATTGTGAGGGTCTCAGAGGGAAGGCCTGTGTGTACTCAGGGTTACCTCAGGCCTGAGGAAGACGCCCTGGAGTGGCATCTCTCCTCAAGGACTTGGCCCGAGTGTGCTGTGCTCTTGGAAGCTCTTCCCAATGGCCTGGTATCAAACCAATCTCCACCCTGCTCTGAACTCCATTGAGATAGACTGAGGAGAGACCAGTGAATTTAACCACTCTAACTGGCTCCTGGGCATGCCCTGTATGCCCAGAGGAGAAGCTCTGCCACAGCAGCATAGAATTTAACCAGGCCCATCGCTGCTCGCCGGCATGGAAGTCAGGTCCAGTGGGGCGAGCACTGCTCTGTGACTCAGAACTACTGGGTTTGGTTCCCTGTCACTGTAGGCAAGCCACTGGCTGTCTCTGAACCTCTGCACAGGTGGATAATAGCCCTGCCCTCCCACATAGCAATGGTGGGTGGATAAATATATTCAGAGCTCCAAGGATCAGGGCTTTGTCAGGATTCCACAGAACAGTACCTCCATCCCCTGTCTGCAGCAGTTGTACCTGTAAATATAGTTTAAATGCTTCTTAATTCTTTTCTTCCTAATGCAGTATCCTTAAAAAAAAAACCACAATACCCAGCAGTGCTAGGAACGAGAGGGCAAACAACACAAAAGGTAAAACACAGTTATCATCATGTTAGTAGATTCCTGGTATTCTGAAATGATCTTCCATCAGACCTAGCTTTTCCTAAAGCTCTGAAAAAACTTTTTTTGCAGCAGATAATTGCTTACAATTCTTTCTCTTTTTTTTAACAAATATCTTTGCGGATTGCAAGAAAAACAAAGTTATTACCCTCACACGTTCCTGTGTTTTTGTTCTCTGGGTAGCCCAGGTTTCAATGGTTTCTACTTTATAAAGGTTTAGGGTGAATTATTCCACCACTCACTTATTAAATGGATATTAATAACTGAATAACTTAACATTAACAATGACCTTAGCATCAAATCTATTACAAATGGGTGTTTATAAGTATTGTGTCAACACTATGCCTGTTATTTAGACAATTTGTCCTTGAGTCCAATGTGTTCAATACCTCCTTGGAATCTTAGCATAAGCTTTCATTTAATTATATATTTGGGGTTTGGGTGAATTAAAAAAGTACGAATACCTCCTTGGAATCTTAGCATAAGCCTTCATTTAATTATATATTTTGGGTTTCGGTGAATTAAAAAAGTACACTATCACCCATATAATCAGAGCCATTTTGTACTTCAGATTTTAGCACTATGCAGATACAAAAATTCTTCTCACAAATGCGCTCAGGCTACTTTTACACTACAAGTTTTCTTGACAAGAAATATGCTAATGAGGAACTCATTTGCATGAGGTCCAATATCATTTGCATATTTTATGTAATGAGGAACTCATTTGCATGAGGTCCAATCTCATTTGCATATTTTATGTGGATCCGTTTTTGCACTAGGGGTTTTTGCACAAAAACTAGCAGTGTGAACATTTACTTTTTGCACAAAATCCCTTTTTCCACAAGATCCTTATGCCCCCAAAAAGGAGGCTGTGACAGACCCTGGTAGCATATCTCTGATGAGCCTGTGCTAGCCAGGAGCTGGAGAGGGCTCTAGAACAGCTGTGGAGGCCCAGGGATTGTGGGTGGCTGGGTCTAGCTACCAGTGGATCACTGAGATCTGTGTGTAACTTTGGGGACCCCTGGATCCTGTGTACCGGTTTACATTTGTTATGGAGAAGGGAAGGGACTTTTCCTTCTGGAGTGATGGCAGGTCAAATCCATGTATGGAAGCTTGTGGAATTTCTTTTCTCTGTCCCACACCCAAGGTTTCAAATGCAGGAAAGAGGAATGTTGATGATGATTCAGCAACATCAAAGCTGTGGTGGAATCTTTGCTGCCACTTGCCTGCCAGTGAGGTCGCCATGGGCCTAATCAGAACCTCACAGACAGTGACCACAAGGCCAGATTCCAAGAATGGAGCCTGCATTAGCACTTGCTCTGCAGACTAGTTGTTTACCATCAAAATGCATCCCCTGGGATTTGGCCTCCTGCTGTTTGCCATTGACTGTGATGGGGTTAAAGCTGGTGCACATGAAGCCAAGCAGCTGAGGTTCCCTGATGGCCAAGTGGCCCCAAGGGAAGGTACACACATGCTGCATAAAGGCAGTTGCCTCCCTATCTGAACACACACTGCCTGCTGCCCATGCAGCCTCTCCGAGGACTCCTTGTGCTTCAGGGTGAAGACCTCTGGTGCCAGCGGCTCCCTTCTAGCAGGAACTGGGTACGTTGGCAGGTTTCACTGTCTGTAACATGCCAAGTGCAGGGCGAAGGCTGCAGGATGTTTGCATTGGCAGCTGTTCTGTGCCGCGGCAGAGGACTCAGCTGGGCTAGTGACAGGGCTGGAGGGTGAGCAGCACTAGGCAGCTTGGGAACCCTCCCCTCCATCTGCCCATGCTCCAAGGGAGCTGCTGAAGCTGCACACAGATCCCACACTGCAAGGGAGCTCGTAGTGTTAAAACCCGCAAAACCCTCCTCAGAGTTTCTGAAGGGGCCGTGTGCTCTGGGCCTGATCCTGCCAGGGGCCGAGTAAGCGAAGACCCTCCTGGAATCTCAGTGACTAATTCCAAAGTGGCCTCAGTTTGTTTCTTTATTCCTGCACATTCAAACAGCAAATGCATTTACAAAGGCTTTGTTCTCTGGCTCAGGGGTGAGGGCAGCAGCTCAGAGCTGCCTTGCTCTGTGGTCACAGGTCCAACAGGGCCCCAGCATTTGTGCCCTGTAAAGACCACTCAGAATAACAGAACTTCTGTCATGTCTGCCCCCTCTCTGGCCTCTCAAACCTAGACATCAGGCCCAGTACCCTGCCCTGTCCCGGGGAGGAATCCCACGATTCTCCCACCCTCCAATTGGGTCTTGGCCTTCCGAACACTGTGCTTGCCCTGCACATCTGAGTGAGCTTGACA